CGTGAGGGGTGCTCCTGAGGCCGTGGGCGCCTCCACGGAAATCCCGGGGGCACATCGGTCGAGGGGCACTTCTAGCAGCACCCGTCATATGTAACGAACAAGGACGTCGTCGTCGTCGTCGTCGCAGCCACCGCCGCCGCCCCGACAACGAGGGGGGGAGGTGAGGCAGCGCAGAAATCCACGGGACATCTCTCGGCGTTTTCGGCCATTGGAGGTCCACCAGGGTAAGGAGCATAATGTCCTCTCGTCGTCGTCGTCGTCGTCGTCGTCGTCGTCGTCGTCGTCGTCGTCGTCGTCGTCGTCGTCGTCGGGCATCGTCGTACGTCGTCGTCGTCGTTCGGCGGCGAGCGAAGGGGGGAACTGAGAAGGAGAAGGCCTTCTCAGAAGGCGGTGAGACTTCTCAGAGACCCTCGGGCCTTTGAGATGTTTCCTGTGCCTTCGGGGAGGGCTTAGGGAACTTATAAGAAGGCGGGAGGGCTTCCGAGCCTTCTGAGAAGGCCTCCTCCTTCTCAGTTCTCCCCCTCGCTTGCCGCCGAGCTCAGGCTCAGAGGTCCGGAGGTGCGTGCGGCCTCTGAGGGCCTTCGTTGGTTGGGCCCTGGGACCGTCAAAAAACTGCTCAGGATGAAGAGTCGGTCCATGGGTCGGGGGCGGAAAAGAGGGGGGTGATGACTGGGGGGGGTGGATATCATGGCGCGGGCCATGATATCTCCGCAGATTTCATGGCGCCTCTTCTTATTTCATTACGTCCCAGGCCCCCCCGCTGGGCCGCGCACATGCCGCCGGTCATGATTTGCACCCCCTTCCTCTTGGACACCCCCCTCTTGGCTGCTCCCGAATGGGAGAAGGTCGAGACTTCCCTAGACCCCGCAATGAAAAAAGCAAGCTATCGGATCTCTGGGGGGTGGATGGGAGGGCGCCAACTGAGGCGTTCTAAAAAAGGCCGCGCCTTCGAGGACCGAAGGAGTTGACATCTCTTCTGCAGAGGAAGGGCGGAGGAAGCCGGCTGAAGTAAAACGAGGCCGCGTCTGCCGCCAGAAGTTGGCGAAAGGCTAAAGGAAATTGGCAGGGCAACGTCAGGGTGGGATACGGTAGGTTCGCGTCGCGTCGACAAGTGGCGACCCCGCCGCCTGCGTTCAACTATGGACGCCTCTGGCGAAACGGAATTGGTCGATGTTGAATGATTTGACGTTTTGGAAACGGCCAATCGTTCAAGGTAGAACGATCCCCGCGGTGTCAGAAACCAACGCTTGAGTCGACACGACGCGAACCCGCGGTAGGCAGTTCGGGGGAGGGACTCGGGGGGCGCCAGCTATGTTGTCGACGCCGGATGGCTGTCTTTTTTTTCAGCCTCCAGGGGCCCTCGCCGGGCCTTGGGACCGTCAAAGAACGAATCGGGATGAAAGCCTGGTCCCCCAGAAAGATCCAGACCTCTGGGGGTCAATTCTTGGAACAATCATGACTTCGGGGGTCTGGGTTTTGTTTGTGGCAGCTCCGCGCCTGGTGTGATTCGCGGCAGGTGCAGTAAAGTCGAAATCGATGAGAAGGGCGGGTAACCCTCCCAAGGGTACCCTTGTGTCCTTGCCTCCCCGGTGCATCCTTAACCACTTTCGATGGCCAGCCCCGCTCGAAAAGCTTCGACATGGGCGTCCAAGAGGCTTGCATCCTCATCGCGCCCCTGCCATCAGTTTTGGCTGTACAGCTGCACCGATCCTGGCCAGGTCGACACTGGGCCCGGGATGGGCCGAGCACGGGTCGCTGTGGGTGTATAGTTGCCGCCTTTCTGGGGGAGTGTATCTCCGGAGGGAAAGAAACACACAGGCACAATGAATCGTCGATTCCCCCGAAAATATAAGAAAATATGGGAAGTGGGGGGAAGACATAAGCCCAGAAAATATTGGAAAATATGGGGAATCCTTTTAGTTGTGTGTATTTATTTGTGTGTGTCCTGGGGCCCCTTAAGTGTCGCATGCTTTTCTGAAGCTTCCCCAAGTTCTCTGAGGTTCTCGAGGCCCGGGGCGGTGTGTGGCCTCCCTCCTGGGGGGGGAGTGCATCGCATGTTTCCGGGAGTTTCCCCAAGCTCCTTCTAAGATTTGCGAGGCCCAGGGTGGGTTCCACCAGTCAGGCGATCGCAAATATGGATCCTCCTCCTCCTCCTCCTCCTCCTCCTCCTCCTCCTCCTCCTCCTCTCCTCCCTCCTTCTCCTCGCTCTCCGATCAACAGATCGAGTCAGGCGATCGCAAGCATGCATCAACGGGGGCGTGGATTAGCGACGGGTCCCGTTTCCATAGGGAATCGGTGATTTCCGCCGCCGAACGAGGCGGCACCGGCCGCATCTCGAGGAGGGCACCTCCCCCGATCCATGGATTTGGCGACCGCGCGCCATATCCATGGATCGCTAATCCATGTCTGCGCGCTCCCGCCTCGTCGAGGACGTTCTGGGGGTGCCGTGATCGCTTCAAGCAGTTGCCGGAGAGCCGAGTTGTGACCCGCGGGCCAGGGCGCAGCGACAGGGTGGGGATATGCTCAGGGGGGGGGGGAGGGCATCGGGCCCCAAGCGCCCACCGATCGCAGAGAGGTAGGAGCCCGATAGCCCACCGCGCCCGGGAGCCAGCGGGTTCGCTATCGGGAGCATACCGCCGATCTATCGGCGAGGTATCGCCGATTCCAGGGCGGTGTTCCCCCTTGGAGGAGGAGGAGGAGGAGGAGGAGGAGGAGGAGGAGGAGGAGGAGGAGGAGGAGGAGGGGGAGGAGGGAGACGGAGGAGGAGGAGATTGCGCAGAATGGTGAGGCGATGAGGAGGATGAGAGTAGATGAGAGAGGCGTGATAGGGTGAAGGACGACGAGGATGAGAGGAGGATGTATCGTGGCGGGATGCGACGAAGGACATGCAACCCAAGACTCATCAATGATGTTGAGTTACACCCTCCCTCCAAGAGCCCTCTTCATAGGCCCCTACAAAGAGGTCATTTCCACTCAGGGAAGGCTCCCGTCGGGAGACAGTCGTGCGAACATTTTGAATCGTGCCAAAACACCATTCCCAGGACTTCGACACCACAAGTTAACCTGACTGTTACGTCTTGGCGATCCTGGATCGTGCCAGAACACCTTTCCTGGGATTCTAACGCCGCGAATCAACGTAACTGCTGCGCCCTTACAGTCCTGCATCGCTCCCAAACTCCATTTCTAGTACGTTAACCAGAGAACCAGTGAAACTCTTGCAAATGTTGAAAAAGAGTGTGCACGGCGCTAAGGTGAGAACCGCATTATGAAAACGAACCGCTCTAGATCCGTGAAACTCTGAGAAATGCTTAATAAGAACGTGCGTGGCGCTGAGGCGAGAGCCACATGTTGAAAACGAACCGCTCTCTATATCCGTGACACTCTTGCAAATGTTGAGAAAGAATGCGCGGCGCTACGGCGAAAGCTACATGTTGAGAACGAGCCGCGTTCAACCCGTGAAACTCTTGCAAAGTTTTACCATGAATGTGCGCGGCGCCAAGGCGAGAGCCACAGTTTGAAAAGCACCCGCCCTCAATGTGTGAAGCTCTTGTATGTTTAAAAACGAATGTGCGCGGCGCTACGGCGAAAGCCGCATGTTGAGAACGAGACGCGTTCAACCCGTGAAACTCTTGCGAAGTTTTATAATGAATGTGCGCGGCGTTAAGGCGAGAGCCACAGTCAGTTTGAAAACCACCCGTCCTCAATATGTGAATCTCTTGCACGTTTCAACGAATGTGCGCGGCGCTAATGCGAGAGCCACATTTCTTAGATTTTCAAATAAAACAAAAAAAAACTGCCCTCAAGCCGTGCAACGACGCTAAGGCGAGAGCCACATGTTTGAAACGACCCGCCCTCAGTCCGTGAAACATCGGCAAAGTTTTAAAACGCACGTGCGCGGCGCTAAAGCGAGAGCCACATTTTGAAAACGACCCGCCCTCCATCTGTGAAGCGGTTGCCAATGTTTAAGCATCAGGGTCATGAGTGGTGAGGAAGTCTCAGGCGAAACGCCCAGCCCGACCTTTCGACCGACCTCGGGGTGCGACGGGGAGGAGCTATCTATAAGGAAAAGGAACGGAGGAGAAGGAGGAGGAGGAGGAGGAGGAGGGTCAGGAGCATTAGGAAGAGAAGAGTGGAGGAGAGGAGGACAGGCGGAGGAGGAGGAGGGGGTTCCCCGACCTCAGAGGCAAAGGGCTTCAGAAAGCTGTGGCCGCTAGTGAGCTCGTGATTTGTAGTATCAGGGCTCGTCGGCTCGTCCGCTGCAGGCGCGTTTCTACCGCAATTGGGACTTCCCTCCAGAAATGGGTTATTGCTTGGGCTATACCAAGCGATGGTCCAGTTTGGGGTATTCCAAGCGATGGTTCAGATGGGTTATCCCAGCGATGCTTCCAGTTTGGGCCATTCCAAGCGATGGCTCCATTGCTTTTACAATATATCCTCCATCCGTTGGGTTATCCCAGAGATGGTCCAGTTGCTGGCCGAACTGCGGGCTGAGACTGCCCACCCCCAGTTGTGTAGGTGGTTCCCGGCGGCTCAAAGCGACAAGATTTGGTGGCACTGTCGCTGGCCTCGGCCATCTCCGAGACAGTGCATTGTCCCCCTTTTTGTTAGCCGGCCACGCGCAGAGGGGAGTAGGGGGAGGGCCCCGCGTATTCTTAAAAGCAGGGGTGTTGCTAAAAAGCCTTCCCCCCCCTCCATGCCCCATTCAGCGCGTGGCCGACTCACAAAGGGGAGCAGTGCACTGTCCCGGAAGAGAGCCAAGGCCAGCGACAGCGCCACCAAATCTACTGTACCCCCTCGTGCGCGCCGCCAACTGTCCCCTTCTGTGAGCGCAAATCGGGCCGAACGAAAGGGGGGGCTGCGAAGTCTGCTCCATGCAGCTGGTTTCGGCCCCGCCGCCACGCCCATTCCTCGATACCTGGGCGCCTCCCGTCGCCGGGAGGCGCTGGGAAAATCAGCTACGTGAGCTCATTCTCAAACCCCCCCCCCCTTTGCTATCCTTCCCTTTGACCCGGCCCGAGCAAAGCCCTCCCAAGCGTTCCCCCGAGCCTGGCGGGTGCCGCGCCAGCTCGCGCGCGCGCGGGGACGGGCCGCCCGCCCAGCGGCCGGCCAGAGAAGAGCGCCGGCATCGCCTGTGGCCGACGGCCCCTCCTGCCTCGCTTTTCCTCCTGCTCCTCCTCGTCCTCCTCCTCGTCGTCCTCACCCTCCACCTCCTCCTCCTCCTC